ACCGACAAATTTTTGCCGTGGCTAGGGTAATACATATTTTTAAATTTACACAAGCCGATTTTCTCATATTTTGCTACCAACAGATAATTGCTGAGGAACTATAGCCCTGGAATTTATATTATTCTCACAGTATTAATATTATATCAACATTCGTAATGTAATATTTTTCATGAATATCTAGCAAATGATGTAAATTTATATTCCCACAGTATTAATATTATATTATTTCATGTTGGAAATAATCATTATTAATAGTGATCATAGATACCTTGCGAATGATGTAAATTTATATTCCCACAGTATTATCTTTCGAATGATGTAAATTTATTCCCACAGTATTTATATTATAGTAATGTCTTGTTGGGAATAATCATTATTAATAGTGATCATAGATACCTTGCGAATGATGTAAATTTATATTCCCACAGTATTAATATTATAGTAATGTCATGTTGGGAATATTCATTATCATAGATATCTTGCGAATGACGTAAATTTATATTCCCATAATATTAATATTATCGACATGAGTAACGTCATGTAATCATTATTAATCGTTATCATGGATATCTTGCAATTGATTTATTTATTAATTCAACATTTAACGGTAATCAACAAGATTCTCAGGATTTATGTACACTCCCCTGACACGGGTCATGGGACTTTTTTCCGAATATAGTAATACTCGATTTTTTTATAAATTTTCATAGCAATCTACGTCAGGTTTTTTTTATCGAAATGTTATACCAATTTGACTTTATCAATAAGGTATAGGATGATTCATCTATGTTAGACCATTCCTATTGCAACAGATTGAACAGTTCAGTTTCATTTTGGTAGAGGAATGCGCTTACGAATACAATGCTCTAATTCATTCCAAATATTCTCGATAGGGTTGAGGTCGGGGCTTTGCGCGGGCCAGGGAAGTTGATCAATATTATTATCCACAAAGTTGACCTTGCTCGATGAATTTGAGCATTGTCATCTTGAAATACATAATTATTTTGATTATCCAACCCTCCTAAATAAGGTAACAAATGGTTATTTAAAACATTGATATAGTCATTTGCAGTTTGCCTACCATTAACTCGAACTAGAAGACCCAATCCAAATAAACTAAAACATCCATAGATCATGACCTCCTTGCGACCTGATTTAAAAGTTGGAACTAAACAGTTAACATCATATTTCTCTTCAGGTTTTCTCCAAATATAATTACGACCGTCTCTCCCAAATATTTCAAACTGTGATTCGTCGCTCCATATGATGAATTTCCACTCCTCCTTCCAATTAATCCTTTCTCGAGACCATTCCAAATGTAATTTACGATTTCTTTCATTGACGAAAGGTTTTCTCTTGCCAACTCAACCATAAAATCCTTCTTCATGCAGATAACGTTGTATAGTATGTGAGGAAACATTGGTAGAAGTCGACTCGATAAATTTATTAGTTAAATTATTTAAGGAAGCTTTTCGATCTGTCTTTAATAAATGAACAAGATGATATGTGTCTCATTTAGTTAGGCTTTGGTCCCGGGCGTGGAGTTGGTTTTATTTCACCAGTTTTTTTAGAGTGTTAATAATCCTGTAGATAGTAGTTTTTTCGAATTTTAGGGTATTTATAATGGTAGGAATCGGCACTCCGCACTTCCAAGCGCCAATGATCTAATTGCGTTCTTTTTCTGAAAGTTCTCTTCGTGTTTTATCCATCACGAGTAAGAAAAGGATGGGGTGTCTCGATTACACAATGAAAAGAAGAAGTCTTCTGAAAAAAATTTGTATCACTTTATTTGTGCTAATCTGTATGCAAACCGCTTAGAAAGAATGTTAATAGTCATGGCTGATCATACTTAATTCAGAAAGTCCCTTTATCACTAATCAGTAATATGAAACATTATCGTTATCACATCAACACCGCCTTCCCAAATATGCAGTTTGTTATCATGTGACCAGAAACCGATAAAAAATCAGGGACCGCTTTCGAAGCTAGCTATCAAACACACGTTTTGCTCACTTTATAAATTACCAGCTAAACAATAACCAGAAATAAACAATAATGCCATTCTTGCTTAAAACTGATACCCAACCGTTGACCAATTGGCCACATCCCGAATACCAACGACTTGACTCACTTCTTCGATGTTCGGTCTGCTTTGAATTCTTCCAGATGCCAATGATTGCTAAATGCGGGCACATCTTTTGCGCAAGTTGTATTGACGTATATATTACTAGAGACTTGGGGTGTCCGCTTTGTCATGCAACATGTTCTCCCAATGATCTTAGGAAGGAGACTATTCTTCAAGATATAGTGAATCAGTATAATATAATTAGGTAGATTTTTGAATGTGATTTATTGATCTTATAAATCAGTGAATTAATTGATGTTTCTTTTCATTGTAATATTAGACCGGAACTATTAAAAATCGTAACAGAATACTCGGTGCTAAAGAATGCCAAGAAATCCGAGATGTCGCATTCCGTTGAGTTAGGAAAATCAACAACAAATGCGGCAGAATCAAATTCTTCAACTCCAAAATTACCATCTTCAAATTCGTCATCTGAAGTGGAATATCTTTATACAGTCTTTCGAGATATATCTCCTGAAAATGAAGCAGCATTGCCGTCTTCAAGTTATCGAACTCCAACATTACCATCTTCAAATACATCACCCGAGGTAGAATACCTTTACACAGTCTACCGAGACTTATCTGCTGTCTTCAAGCCATCATCGAACTCCCGTAACTAACAAGTATGATTTCACAATTGTTTTCTTGATTTAAAATTTAGTAATTCACCAGATTTCTAAATGATATCTTTGCGGATTGCCGGCAGCAACACCAGTGTTATTTCAAAAATTGAAATGAAGAAAAAACCTAAGATCGTCTACTCGCTTATGAAACAATCAAAATTACGCGAGATACTTAAGGCAATTACAAACATGTATTATTCATACCTGTGAAAATCTAATTTTATATAATAAAAATTATACATCAATACAGAAAGAGGGCTTATTAACATTCAGCAACAAAGCAGAAATGATTAAAAGACATGAGGAATACATAAATCTCTATAACGCGAACATGGATGCCACAAATCCGAAATCACATCACGAACTCTTGTCTGATATGAGGATTTGGGAAACTGCCCAAAGAAACAACAAAAAACGGAATACAAATTCCTCAGCACAACATCTTAACATATATCAAGCTCAGTCTAACTCTATAAACATACGCCAAGAATTTAACAGCGATCCGACAAATAACGATTTGTCGGTATTGATAATTAACGAATACATATACAGGTACATGTATATGGGAAATACTACAAATGAACGAAGATAGAATTTGAATATATAAACCATATAATTAAGATTTGGTGTGGAGTATGACTTCGCTATTATCAACATTATATATGTGAGGAACTCGCATTACCTGTCTTTTTTTTCTTCACTTTGATACTGCTTACATCATATATTTGAACATGGTTTTTCTGCTGTAATCCTGAAAACCCGAACATTCTCTATATTTCTTTTGCAGTTTTATTGATCAAAATCATACGTTCGATGGTCTCGTTCTTAGAATGCATGCGTTATTTTGAAGATATATCTATAAAAAGTCCACTTGCGCACTCTTCATCGGGTAAAATTGATGATAATTATGATGGTGATAGTGATGAAAAAGACACTGATTCGGGGTGCTGAGCGACGAAATAGTTCTTTTAAGAAAGCTTTGAGGAAAATCACCCGAACATAGTATTAATAGAAGAAAAAGTGAAAGAAAAAGTGAAAGAAAAAGATGAAAATGAACAACTGCTCGAGGATATGAAAAACCATGAACGCAGCCAGTTTTCCTTTGGCGATGTATATTAGGAAATGGTCGATCCGAGTTATTTTATAGAAGTTTTTCGGAAAAACAGGTGCTCTCAAAAATAGTTAATTATATAAAGACGAGAATCTGTTAAAAGAAATGCTTAACTAAATCAAGATCTATCTCGGACCCCTTTTAGAAGTTCAAGGAATTTACACCCAATTTGGCGTTTCCAAGTACGGTGACTATAGAAAGGTTTTGCATCTCTTGCCGGAAGATCTTTGCGATAAGAAATAGTATCACGAAATCGGAGAAACAGCTGATACAAAAGATCTGAATATGGAAAATATACATCATTGTGATTTCATCTTGACATAGTATCGGTACACAATTCGTAATATACAGACATCATATTGGTCCTATGCGTATTATATGTACATGTATATATTAGCGTGGGAGGCTCCGTGGAGATGTGCTAAATTTACAGACGTCATATTGGTTCAATGTACATGTATATATTAGCGTGGGAGGCTGCTAAATTTACAGACGTCATATTGGTCCTATGCGTATTATATGTACATGTATATATTAGCGTGGGAAGCTCCGTGGATATGTTGTGCTAAAATTACAGTACTGTATTTAGTCTGTTTGCTAGAAAGGCTGAAAAGAGGAAAAAATTGTATAAATTGATTAATAATTTTAACTATAATAAAACACAGATCTTCATAAACTACGTCAGGCTATAAACACATGGAACTGGTTGATTTATGCGGAGGTCAATTTTAGTTTTCGCAATTTTTACAAAGGTTGGTCTTAGTTTCCGTCAACAAAATAATCAAGGTTGGACTTTATTTTCTGCTAAAACAATATAAAAATTCGAAGTATGGTGAAAGATCCTCTATTACTGTACTGAATATAAGTTTTAAGAAATCCAATGAATAATTAACAAGTTTATTTTTATTTAATCATTTTCTTTCTTTACACACCTACATTAATAAATTAAACCCAGATATGGAGGTATGTATGATGGAGATTCACTGCCTTCTAGCACAACAATACCGCGTTCAGTACATGCAGGTACATCAACATGGTCGATGAACTGTATAATTCTTCGTATCTTAAAGTTGTTGTGACATCGACTGACTAGCGCCTATTTTCTCCTCGACGATATCAAATAATCGATGTGTTTCTGGAATTAATTGGCGGAAGTTTTCAAAGAATTAAGCAACCTCTTTGATAGCTTTTTCAAAGCACGTGTATAAGCTATGTCTGTCTCGACATCGAATAACTTGCGTTGATAATCTCTCAGGTAGTGATCAAACTCATTCAAATTTGCAACTAATGACTTAATGAATTTTTTCATTTGGCGAACTTGTCTTAATTTCTTTTCCGCCCTGATTATTTTGCAATGATCGATGAAACTTTCAGTCCAATAGTCTTTAATTGCTCTCTCAGCTTCTCTCTCAGCATCCAGCAAATAAAAGGAAAGATTCCTAGCATCAAGTTTAACCTTACTGAATGAATTCATCATCCTATTTAATTGTCCTTTTAACTCTCGGAAGACGAGTTCCGGAACTTTTAATTGCCGTTGAATGAACCCTGAGAAATTTTGTTCATCCTCCCAATAAGTGATCATTTTATAAAATTGTTCAACTAGAAGGTCGGGAATAAATGTGTCGTAGAAATAGAAGTTTTCATCTTCGTCCGATGATTTTACAACATCTAATATGTCGTAGATTAATGACACTTTATTGTAAATTAATAACGACTTCTGATGATTTGTGTCGAAAGTCGTTTATCTTCTTTATCAACTTAAGATCATCAGCTAAACCGTTAAGAGAACCGGAAATAAGTAGACCATTTTGTTGTACTTCGTTGCCTTGTCTTCAAGTATCAGCAAGATCATATAATTCGACCAAGTGCTGAGTATACGCTGATGTTTCTTTGAAAAACCATTATGTTAAAAGGGTGATAGGAGTGATTGTATCATCAAATGATATTGTAAAGATAGAATACCTGGAAAGCCTAGATCAAATAAATTCTTATTCGTTGCATCCACAAAACCTCTGAATGCAGTCTCTTGAATATATTCTTGATATTTTATACCCTATTAAACTTTAATTAGTATGCAAATCTAATAATATCAACAAAAAACAGTGATGCTCAACATACGAAATAAAAACCAAATCCTAATAAAAACGACACAGCAACGAGCGAGAGCTTGGCTTTATTTTGGTGCAACAGAAATGCAATGCTCGTAATAGAAACTCGATCATTCTTAAAATAAGCATATTTGCTGCGAAAGTACAATTACGCAATTCTTTATAGCTGCGATACTTTTTCATATTATTAAGTTGAAACAATGATTTAATTGTGTAAAATTTTTTCCACGCTTGAGTTTATTCCCACGATGTGAATAAAGCAGATAAAATCAGCGCACAATGATAACATATAAAAATCAGCACATAACGATAAATTTCCAATACTGGCTAAATCGTGTCATGATAAGACGATAACCATGTTTAAACAACGCAAGAAAAGAAAGCATAATTTTTCATTTTCTTTTTTATTTAGCTTTACTTAACAACATAACGGGAAACTAATATTTAAGTGGAATAAAAGTGAAATAAAGATATAATACATGTATATGAAACAATCATAACGAACATCATTTTGTAAGATTAATATGCGTACTCACAAGAGACCCTTAGACATTTAGAGAAACAATTTACATGTACTTGTAAATAGTTCAGTCAAAACTCAACTTTACCTTGTTATCTTCAATAATTGAGTTTCAATTATTGTATGTGTATGTTCCTGGTACAATGCATAAATTCAATTTACACTCAATATACTCAATACAGTCGACACTTGATTTACCGATTACCTGATTTAACAGAATCGTAATTAACGTTCCTTTCTCCCTTATCACCATATTGAAACTGCGCTTAATTTACCGATAACTATTAGTATTCCCTTGATTTTACGGTTTAACGAGGTCTTGAAATATCATTACCGATCATTCGGTAAATCAAGAGTTTACTGTATTATGAATATCGATAAAGGTTTTACTATTTTATAAAATTTAATATGAATATTAAAGCAAATTCAGAATTCGCGGCATGTCGGGATTTGGGATTCGGAATTTTGTTATATGAGATGTTGAGATGTTTGGTGCTATCACAGCATCAAGATAAAAAACTAGTCCCTAAACGAAAATTTCGTGATCACATGACTGCGTCCTTCGATTATTAGTGCTTGGATTAAAATTTGTTGAGGTGGATGGATGGCACCATATAAGGTTTAAAAAGTTGAAATGTAGGAATTCCTTGAATGCAGATAAATGAAAAGAAACATTCTATCATATCAAGCATACAGTCTTCTAAAACTCATTTCTTTCTTTGAATAAGCTCATTAATTTGCACCAAATTCAATGATGTTAAATTTGCTGTGAAATAACGAAACACATCACAATGTATAAATCACATCAAATCTGCGCGGATATCAACCAATTTGTTTACAAAAAATTCTCAAGAATTTTACAAATGGAAATTCACATATGAGTTCAAACCATAACAAATGTAAATTCACACAAACATAGATATCGATTTGGATCCATGAAATACAGTATAACATTTAGTAAGTTAACAGACCCAATCAATGCAATCATATCAATCCAAACAAAAATGCTATTCCAATTTTTGCGAGATTTAGCAATTCCGATTTACTTCAACCAAAGAAATATTCATGCTATAGAGCACAAAAAGCCAATTAATATCGTAACAACAAGCGCAAAACTAAAAAAAAATAAAACCTAACTTGCTGACAAGATTCATAGTTTGAGAAATATCAACGGAAGTGATACAACTAAAAACAACGACGATATTATTGTAAAGAAGTTAAAAGAGTTGTCGACGATCAAAAATATAGCAGAACATCACCAGCGACAAAGCTGAAAACAAGAAACTGTCAACAAAATCGAGATGAAATTTGGTTTGATCAGATGAACTCTCGATTAAAAATGAATTATAAGACTGCCGGACTTAGATTATCATGTAATATTGTCAAAATTAGAGTCTTGGCTTACCATAAAATGGTTATAAATCCTTTCAGAATTTACATTAATTTTTTCTTGTATATAGAGATGGCTGTGAACTGCATAAAAAAAGGAATCGAAAATAAAGTACTTAAAGTAATTAGGAATAATTGATAATTTTTTGACTTTTAGTTCGTTTTGTAATATTTTATTCTTAGATTATTAATATCAATATTTTCTGAGAAATTCTTTTTCGATATTATTATGTAAACTGGACAATATCAAATACATTACTAAGTTTGATATATTATGATATGCCCAATCCCTAATGTACGGGATCCGAACACACGAAACTCTGAACTATACGAATGCACGAAAGCCCGGTATCACAATGATTTTAACATTCCGTGCATTTGGGATGTTATAATTTCAGGATTTCGTGCATTCGGTATGCCTTTCTTTCGGATTTCGTTTATAAACATACTGTATGCTTGCGAAATAACTTATTTCGAATGACGGCCCGCATTAAGCTTGATTCAGGCCGATGATTTTTGAACACTTTAGTTTTTTGGTTAATTGAAATCGTCTATAAGTCTTGTTAATTAGTCTTTTTGCTGTTGCTCATTAAAAGAGATCCGTTAATAATAAATTATTCTTATTAGTGCGTATAACAGTAATCTATTTATGCGTACATGTCATATACATGTATTTTGTAATTTTATCGGTTTAATTTTGTATTTTATTACATGATATTTTTTATGGTTTATAGGTGAGATACACCATAGAAAAAACTAAATACATGTATCGTTCCTTTTCATGTTACAGAGCATTTATCGAGTAATCCAAAAACAGAAACAAATGCTATCATGTTGACATTGGTTTTAAATTTTTCACAGAGTGTTGCAAAAATGAGCGAAATGATATTTGTAGGTATTATTTAGTGAAATGTGATGTGAATTATACGATTATGCGAATATAATTTTCTGAAATAAATTCTAGGTCAGGTTCAATGTCCGGTGGTCCTATTCGTAGAGCATCACAAGCTTTACAATTGAGTCTTCATTCGCTTCCCAAAATTGTCTTTTCAATATCATTTCTTTTGGAAATAATTTTGATCCTTATTTAAAGCTGCTTATCTCTTATTGAAAACATTCAAGCTGATTATGGAGGAACAGAAATAAAAAATGTTCTCGAATGGTTAGTTAAGAATACTCGTAGTGATATGCCGTTTTCTTATTAACAGATGGTAAAATACGGAAAATTGTCGAAATAATCCAACTGGATCAGAAAACTTAATTTTCGACTTTTCTCTTTAGGAATTGGATCCAACGTTTCACAGTAGTTAGTATAGTCAGTTGCTCGAGCTGGGAAAGGTTACTCACAATTTGTCACCGATGAAGAACGAATGGATAAAAAAGTTATTGGAATGATCAAGAATGCCATTAAAAATGCGTTAACTGATTTTAAAGACGAGACAACATCGATTATTCCAATTCGTCGGAAAAAAATGAAGTCAAGCTCCCAATTCTATTAATTCTATTCCTGCTATATATTTGGGTGTGCGTGTAATATTTTACATGTTTCTAACAAAAGACGTCAAACCTAAAAATGCGATAACTCTTTCAGCACAATCCTTGGATGGCCCAATTAAACTTAAAGTAGATCCAGTAACTCTTCAGAATCGAAAACACTTACCTTGGCTGCTAGGATTTGGAAAATGAAACTTCAAATCTGCATGTAGATTCCAATAGAAAAAGATAATTAATTTAGGTATAATCGTTACATACTTTTATTCTTTTATGTGAAACATACTTATTAATATGATTTTCAGTTATTATTTTCAGTCTTGCATCAAACATACATGTACTAGGTATTTCTTTTAACTAAAATACATTTGATTTCATACACATATACTTTTTGTATTATTATTTTAATACTTAAGATTTTAGTTTTCTCAGAAGTGAGACCCTTGAACAAAAAAAGAGTAGTTCAGGGACAACTAAGAAGGAGGGGATTTGTGACCAGACCTTTGATTAGCTATCGATTTACTCCAAACAGATCGAAATCCATCTTTCGCTATACTTCAACGAAATCTTCAGTTAGTCGTAAAAGTGAGTTTAGAGCTTTTTTTATTAAATTAATCAATGTTTTCATAAATTACTATTTATTAATAAATTCTGATAGGAGTAAAAAAACACTAAGATCGGTAAAGAACGCGTCAATTGAATCAGATAAAGAGAGTTCAGAAGAAGTAGATTTTACAAACACAAGAGTAAGAACTGTCACAATCATTTGATATAAAAGTACCAACTATTGAAACATTAAATATGGCATTTTAAAAAATCAATCGTTCGATGGAAAATTCGTTGCAAAAAATTCCAAATTCTCGAGCTTGTTTTCCGGACATGATTCCAAGAAAAATGACGATTTAATATGGACGACGGCTGTAGCTACGTCTTATTTGGAAATTGTTATGAAGGAATTAAAGAGGAATGGGAATTATATTTTGAAAAAGCAGAACGCGCATTAGCTAAATTAATCAGTGAAAAGGATAAAAATAGCAAAGTTGAGACTATTTTATTGGAAACTCGTGAATGGAAACAAAGGTGGCTTGTAAATGAATGTAACACTTAATTGTGTTTGTTTTTATTTTATTGCGATTACATGTCCTTAACTTTTTGTATCCTTAACTTCTTTAAATAAATTGTTATATTTAAGTGTAATTCTATTCTTGTGATTTATATCACCTGCTTATAATTTAATTGGTCGGAATTTACAATAACGATTTAAAATATACTAAAACCTTAGCTAATGTACAGTATCTTCCATCATATGATCGATGGGTGTAATATCGATATAAATAATGTACGCATGCACAGGTTTATTTTGCATTCATTATTTTTTAATAATGGGATAAAATAGATACAAGGTTTTGAGGACACCGCTTTTTTCCAAGTATTATTGAATATTTAATTCGTTGAAATTTTTTTTAGAGGATGATTTATCTAACTACTCGCCTGATGACGACTATAGTGACTCTAAAGAGTACAAGGCGTTAACAATTAAGCACAGCATCCGTATTGTTCGACCTTAAGTCGAAAGGGCTTACTACTCCTGAAAAATTCATTGCATGGTGGAACGAGAAGCATCCAGATTGTCAAATCAAAGTTGATTCTCTTATGTCATGGACTTATCGCGAAGAACAAGACCCTTCCGAATATAATATAAACTGGAGCGAATATGAGATTAGAATTTACCAGAGTTTAATCAAGATTTCCTACGCCATTTTTATGGACCAGTTTATTTACATATTTTTCATAATAAAGTACTATAAACTTTCACAATTTGAATATTGATATTGAATTTCAAATTAATAACGAGCAAACATTCAGAGTCAATAACTATGAAATTTATTGATAAATTGGTTTAAAAAATTTCGATTTCATCTAGTGTAATGTCTAATGTTGATAGCCCGACGTTATTCTCTCATCGAAGCATTATTTTTGAATAAGCAATTGTTAATGTGTGGAATCCGATAAATACATTCAAAATGAAGTATAATCAAACCTTTAAGTTGAATTATTTGTACATTTTTTGTAATTCCTATTCGCCGTCCAATTATGCGTAATCCTGCTCAAATATCGTTTGTTAGCTGTTGCCATTTTCCACACCGAAATTGGTTTGAAAATCACCAACCTATTATTATATTAACTGAGAAAATGGCCATTTTCCGCCGCCTCCTTCAAATGATACTTCCTCTAAAATTTCGTGTCCGAAAAATTCCTTCCATGAAGACCCAAATGCTTCTATACCCAAAATGGTCCAGTTATTTCCAATTACTGTTAAAGGTATTATGAATGTCCAAAAAATAGATGCACCAGACCACCAAAAGACGAGAGCAGCAAGAGAAGACACAACAAAAAGGAACGCGGCAATAGGGCAAGATACAACCGAAAAGCTAAGGTCATAGGGATAGTCGTGACAATTAAACACATGGCCAAAGCTACAATAATCCAGACATAAAGACCACATAATTTTGGTTAATAAAGAAATTCAGTAAAAAAATTCAAGTTATTTACAAATACTAAACTAAAGCTTTTATACTTAGATAAAGCTTGCAGAATCTTTCAAAATAAAATAAAAGAGTATGACTTATTTAAAATAAAAATTTTCTACTACTTATGTTTTTAAGACAAGAAAAATAAGTATTAATTAGATATAATCTATTATAATAAAAAAGATAAATGAATTAAACATTGGTTTTCGCAATTTATTAAAGCCAACTGTTTATCAACGTAACTGAAGAATCTTGCAGATCCAAGTTCAGAGGTAATTCAGCGAACTTTTTTTTGATATGATGTAACCCAATTTAAGTTATCATTTAAAAAAATAAAACTTAAAAAAATAATCAAAGTAAAGTATTTTTATCCAAGTGATTATAAATACCATTCCTATTTTGTAAAGTATCAACCTCCCAAAAAAATAAACTAATCAAGTTTAAAATTCGCACTTTAGTAATTTAATTAAATGGGTCTGGTTTGGGATGCCGTTCGCTCGTTAAAAGGTAGAAAATTTTGTAGGAATTTCTAATTAGCTAACTATAATTTAATCAAATATCTTTAAAATAAAATAAATTATTATTTATAAAAATTATTTATTAATATTTATACTTAAAACTAATTTTAAAATATAATTCAAAAAGTTTAAATTAAAATGAAAAATATTTTTTTAATTATTTTAATTAAAAATATATATACATATATATATAAGATATAATTAATACAAAAAGTAATTATATTAGATGATAAAGAATTTTTAATTAAAATTTAAATGAATTTTTATTTTAAAATTTGATTATTTAATTTAATATAAAATTAAACTTTATATTTTAATTTTCTTATATTTAATAATTTTAATAAGTTAAATTATTTATATTTATATAATATAAATAAAATTATTATATTATAAAATTCATATTTCAAATAATATTTTACTTTTTATATACATAATTAGTAAAAATTAATTAGTAATTAATTTTAAATTTTTTAGATTTTTAAATTTAATTTATTATTTTTAAATTAAATAAGTATAAATTTAAAATATGATATCAATTATTATTTCTTTAAAAATAAATTAATAATTTTTATTATTAAAATTAAAAATCTAAATATAATTATTAACAAAATTATTATGATTATTAAGCTAATTTATATTTAAATTAATTAATATTAATTATAAAAATAATTAAAATTTAAAAAAATAATAAATTTCAATTGAATTATTTTTTTTAGTTTAAATTTGCTTTTTATATTATATTTATTAGTTTTGTTATTTTTTTTAAATATTAATTTTATATTTAATATATAAATAATTATTTATATTAAATTAATTATATATTATTATATTAATAATTATTATATATTTTATAATTATTAGTTTAGAATATTATTATTATTATTTCTTTATTTTTTATTTATTCTTATAATGATAATCAAAAGTAATAACTCAGAGACTAAATTTATTAATAAAATATAATAAAAATAAATATTTTCTTTCTATATTAAAATTTATATTTTAATTAAGAAATAATTTTTATTTTTTTATCAAAATAAAGTTTATTAATTATAGTTTAATATATATTTTTTTCAGATATTTTAGATTTTTTCTGAAAGTATTACTCTAATTATAAAGTTAATACAAAAATTTTTACTAATTAAAAATGAAATTTAATTAATAAAAAGTTTTGTTTAACTTTATAATTAGAATAACTCTTTTAGAAAATTTTGTAAAAAATATATATTAAATTATAATAAATAAACTTTATTTTGATATAAAAATAAAAATTATTTCATAATAAAATTATGAATTTTAATATAGAAAGAAAATTTTAATTTTCATTATATTTTATTAATAAATTTAGTCTTTAGTATCAGAAAATTTTCAAGGGCACAGTTTTATATAGATCTTCAGATCCAAAATCTGCACAAAACTTTGAATCTGGTGATAATTAATAAAGAAAAAAAAATTTAAAAATCTACACAGATCTGTAACAAAATATAGGTTTGCACAGATTTTTTAATTTTTTTTTAAAATTCTACGCAAAACTTCACAATATCAGTTTCAAGTAGCAATAGTAATTTCAAGTAACTGTAGAATTCATAGGTTAAATAATAGTAAAAATATTTATTTTATTGTAAATTATATATATATATAATAAAATATAAATTTAAAAAAAACTATATTATATAAATTTGCGATTCAAGTTGGTGACCTTTTGAATAAAAAATTAGTTTTTTTAAAGACTTCAAAGAAATAAATTACAAAAAATATTAAAGAAACTTACAAAATTGTCATAATCATCATCTTTCTCATTATCATCTTCTTTAACCATATCCTCAGCCTGTGACTTTTGACATTTTTTCTTTACTGCTTGCTTCATCTCTTCAATTTTTTTTTTGCTATCTCTGCCATCATTTCTGATATTACTAGCTAGTTATTTTCCATAGCTCGCTAAATATCCATTATATGAATGATTTTTAATATAAACTTTAAGCAAATTCAAAGTATTACTTATCATAAATATGTGTACACATCTTGCTACTGATCTATCTTTGCATTTGATTTCTGAACTTAACAGACTGAGGAGAATATCACAGATAATTAGGACAAATATATAGTACATCAATGGCAATGCTTTCCCTTTATATTTCTTAAATATCATGTAACTGATATTTGTGAGCAATTTATTATTTTGGAAGAGATTTTTATA